TGCCTCCAAGACCATCTACAAAAAAACTTGGCTCTTATTAGCACGGACATGCTGAAGGATTTCATCAAACCCTTCACGCTACTCCTTGTTAAGAGATTCATAAATATCTAAGTGTTTTTGGTATATAGAGACATTCTGTTCCTCTCTAACCTCTTTCATCATGTCATTGGAGCTTTGACCCTCATCGCAAATAGGTGGCAAACCATAGTCTCTGATATCCTTCCCCATTGAGTGAACCATATCCCGTATGTCTCTGAGCACCATTTGCCCCACTACAGACGTGTTGCTGTTGTCCCATCTGAAGTCTTCACCGAGAGTGTCCTTATGCTTGTCCCATAGTCCACATATGTTAGTGGCCTCACAGAAGACAAGAATGGTAGCAAACAACCTTCGCAAGGCACACGACATCTGAAAAGTGGTGGCCTCAGTCAAGCAGTCGTCGATTGATTTGTTCGTCTCGATAAGCTCTCTTTTCTCTCATGCTTCCCTGAAAGTAGAGTAGGTGACACCAGCCACTGTTCTCAAATCCTCATATGATGTTGCACCTCTCACATGATTCAGTAGAACTCTTATGAAGTATCTCTCCCCTTAAGCAGGGTTTGCATAGACAATCCATACTATCTGTCCTAACATTTGTTTCCTTATTTGCCACATTTTTTCCCTTTGATCCAATGGTAGTGTTCTAGGAATTCTCTATATAATATTTTCCTTGCTGTCCTATCTTCATGGTTTTTACTGAAATACTCGGTAAGTGTGGTCCTATAAGAACCTGGGCGATTGACAACATCCTCAAGGTTTTCCTCCTCATTGTATGTCATAGATTGCATATCCAGGCAAATGTAGTTGGAGCTGCAATATAGCAGGAATGCAGGATAGACTCCAAACATTGGAAAACCGAATATCCTATGCATAGCTTTCGGTGGAGATATGTATTTAGCATTCCTATACTGTCGTATCTCATTGATGACACCATCATCTCTATCATGTTGATCTTCATTTACCGAGAATGATGCTTGGTCATGTCCTTTATATACATACTTAAATAGATACTTCACTGCTTTAATGCTCGAGCATGCTTCAACATTTATGTGATAGTTGTATCTAATGAGTAGACCAGGGTTGTAGGGCACCACCCACCTGTTATCTAACTCTACTCTCCTAATCTTTACTCGATGTCTATCATCCCTTCTCCTGTATGTTGGATATGAGTCATTTCCTTGTTGGGTTGCCTCACAGAACTATCGATGATAGTAAAAGCGACACTCTCCATCCATCATGCACGTGCAGTTTTTGTTTAGCATGCCACATGGTCCATGCAACATATGACTGATAACCAGATCATGCAACTCTAGGTATCTATCCTTGTCTGGTATCCCCGCTAAAATTACTCGATCATATGCATCTGGGTTTGTCAACTTACTCCCTGACTTCATGATCAGCAGGAAATGCTCATGTGGTAGCCCTCTTTTTTGGAACTCGGTAACATGAACGTATGCTGCAACATCACCAAAATACTTTCTCTTGATCAGAAGATCTTTTATATCTCTCAACTTTGCCCTGTACACTCTTGCAACCAGTTCTAGCCTATCTTGTGGTTCTTGCCTAGGTTCGAGATTGCTTGTTATCTCTTCCCAGTAGGGATTGCATGTCATGGTGATGAAGCAACCAGGCCTTCCAAAACGTTGCACAATAGCCAAGCATTAAGGAACCTTTGCTGCATGTCTCAATCGCATCCTGGGAATGATCTTGGCAGCACAATTCCCTTGCCAACCTTAGAACCCTGGGTCTCTCCAGCAGAGATAACATCAACCAGTCCCTAAAATACAATTAAGTACGTACGACATTAGAAAAAGACAGCAATAAGGTTGCAAAGTTCATAAACAAATAAATTTTTTTTGAGTGGTTACCTGGTATAGCTCTGCCCGTATAAGCTTTTGGTACTCGGGATTAGAGTACTAATCTAGCCTCATGGACTCGATCTTTATATACATATCTACATCCTATTGCTGGAAAAGACGTCCTCCAAATAATAAAATGTTAAAAAGTCCCCATCTAACTTGCATCTTGAAGCAATAGTATTCTCGTGCAGTCACATATCTTGAAGATTGTGCTGCATCAGCAACTCTACTTAGCCAGTCACCTTCTTATACGTCATTGTCGCCTTCTTCTGCCTGATTTTCATTATAATTATCAGCTGCAACATATATGAAAAATGTCAGATCTCTATTTTAATATATACTTACACCATAGTAGGAATATTATAGCAGAAATTATTCTTCAATATAATTATTCCATAGGAGTATTATAGTAGAAATAATACCTTGATAAGCACTAGTAGTGCCCTCATCCCTATAATTAACATTAGTAGAAGTCGGGGTTACAGATGGTTGAGTGACTTGATCAGCACTGTACGACATAAACTTGTTCTAAACTTGTTTCCCCTCGTGGGTTGTATAGAGGATAAGCTAATGGGTCATAACAACCATGGTATGTTCGGATATATTGCGGACGACAATCCATCCTTCCATATACAATCACACTCCTATCAAAACATCTCTGTGGATCGTTCCCCTCCATCCAGATAGCAGCAATTTGAGCTACCATTGGGGCATTGTACCTTCTTTGGTCAAGCATGACATTTGTATTGAGTTCAATCCAGTATTTATCCAAGTTTGGAAAAGTACCATTTCTCCTAAAAGGATGAACATATGGGTTATCCTGCAAAATTGTAACAATATTTCGGATGAGGTTGATATCAAGATCAGGGGACCTTTTGACTCTGTGTGACAATGCCTCATCTTCTGTATCATAAAAGTAGAGCTGCATATGCCGAGGGCCGTGGCCACCTGGCACCAGGTGGTCTAGACGATGGTACAACCCGCCATGAACTCGAAATGCATAAATACCGGTCCCTACTGGAGTGTTATATCTGCGGTCAAGGGTAACCCCTAGACTTGCGAATGCGAAATGCGAGTTGAGATATCGTATATGTTGCCAGAAATATTTTGCATCATCATGCACTTGACTAGTGAATAACCTTTTCAGCTCTGCCGGAACCTCTGGTATATGTAATTGTACTTTTCCTTTTCTACAACAAATCCCGGGTGGCTCCTACTGAAACCTCATCGCACTACAATAATGGCAGTTAGGGACATTTCTCAATGTATGTCTTTGTGGCAGGTTCTGATAGATGAATTCATATGGATCATCTATCACACTATGGCCACCCACACCCTCCGCAAGCACGCGATATGACTTATAATCATCACCTATGTGGGAAACATTATAACAATCATGTTACTTTACTATATATATATATGGTTTATGTAAAGACGTATATAATGAAGTTGGATGCCATATAGATGCCGTCGTAGTACCTTGCACATGTCGCTGAATGATTCCATCATCATCGTATAAGTTTTCGTTGTGCAATCCATGGCTGCTGTCCATGGCAGCTTCATCACCGTTTTCACCATTTTGTACAGGTTCGAATAGTTCACGGTGGAATTCATCTTCATTGGTTTTAGCATCTACATGGTTGCGACGCAGATCATTCAAATGAACCTCTACATATATATAATATAAGTACAGTAGCATATATATATATATATCCAAATGGCTTATTTTTTTTAAAAAAAAACAGCATGTGGTTGATGTCCTCACACGATCATATATATATATATATATATATATCCAAATGGCTTACTTTTCCGGAAGCCCAAAAACAGCATGTGGTTTATGTCCTCACCTGACTCACGGAAGTTCTTAATGAGGAATGGTGTGTTTTCTTCTATATCCATGCCGGATGTAATGTTTCGAATAGTTTTGTTCTTATAGATGGTCCAGCAGACATAAAGAAGAGGGGACGTTCTCGTTTGGGATTGATCGACGAGGACGCCGATCTCTTAAGGGGTGAGGATGTAACACCGGCTCGTGGCTCAGGAGATTAATAGGCGGTCTATATCCCAGAAAGTCGCCGACAGCGTAATTATCGTGAATTCTTGCGAGCATGGTGCGCATGGTGGTGTGTAGCCACGTGGTGTGGGATCATCTGGCACTCTAAGAGGGGCGTTCTCGCTTAGGATTTGCTTATATTCTATGGTTGGTGTTTGCACTACTGTTGGATTAATGGATACCCATTCCAAATTTCGAACCATTCGCAAATAATATGAAGGTAGGCGAAATTAGAAGGTGGGGAAATATCATGTTGATGCGTGAGGGGTCTATAAGGTGGAGGAAATGCATGTCCAAGATATTATACGCATCTACGCCACCTACGTGGTGAGGACATCGGCACTACTTGAGACACAATAGAGGCGTGCGTAATTATCATTTTGCGATGCAGCCATCTTTTCTTCCATGTTGGTGTACTGTTGAGAACGTTGTTTCATATATATTACTCTCTTCTCCTTTGTTCATACGGGTGAGGCCATCTCAGCTCTCTAATATTTTGCGATGCAGCCTTCTTCCGTTGTACCCACGTTGTTTCCTTTCTTCCCTCTTAGCATTCAGCTCTTGTTAGCGTTGTTGCCTGTTCCTTTCTTCCCTCTTAGCATTAGCAATGTTAGCAGGTGTTGTTTCTGGGCCTGAGGCATATATTTTTTGTCATTTATAAAAAAGGATTTATTAGTAGAATAAAAGAATGATACTAATTCACAATAAGCTCGAAGTATACCTGGGTCATCTTTGCCGGTGACAACAGATCCAACATGGCTATGATCCCCGTGTGCGTCTAGTGGGATATTTTCTTTGTCCAATATAATTGAGGTGTTTTGGTCCATGCTGGAGTAATTATTACCTGCAAATTGATTGTTACACAAAACACATGAACAAATATATTGAACACCCAATACAACATGTCTTAATTAAAGGCGTACCTGGTATTTGTTGGTTCATTGGTGTCTGATCGCTTACCAGTCCACCGGGCCGCGTAGCATCTGCTGCCAACGTGGATGACGTTGCATTGATGATGGCATTTAGATTATCCGGTTGAACCTTCTTCACGCCCGTAGTTCACGTCGCTTCCTGTTCATCTCCTCTCTTTGTTCATCGGTCATCTCATTTCGCCTTTTACGTTGTTGGTTCCGTTCTTCCCTCCTACGCTCAGCTTCATCTGCAGGTGATATATGTATGTAGATATTTTTGTTTGGTAATTTTGTAATAATCTAATCACACATGGTAGCAGCTATACCTGCACTGATGTTGTTTGTGACATTGCTCAGTGCACGTTGAACTTCTGGATTGGCCATAATTATTTCCCAAGCTGCTGATAATAACCCCTACAATTGATCAAATAAGCATACATTTAAATGGGCAATTTAATTCCCCCACAGATTGTTATAAAGCACACCCAATATTTAAGTCTTTTTACAGAGATATTCAGAGAGGATGCATGCTATGACATAATGGGCACCTTGTAACCCATTATACTCAGATAGGATGCAGCTAAATATTAAGTGTCATCTGGGGCTTTGAGCGCAGATGGAATTTTCTTCATTTATTTTTTGAGTGAATGGGCACGACACATGATTCAGATGTAGTATAACCTTGAATTACCAGATGGAATTAACAGATGGCACGACATATGATTCAGAGAAGTGTTGCATCATATATGATTCATGTATGCCCTTGCTAACGCTACGGGAAAACTAAAAGTTAAATTTTTTTAAAGGAAGAGGAAAATAATAATGTCAAAAGTCAGAAGCCTAAGATTAACACGAGAAAAAGACCCCACATACAAAATTTAAATCAAATAACATAATATATAACGCCATTACGGAATTCTTTGCCACATTATTGAAATTTGTACCAGAGAGAAGAGATACAAGGATATACTCATTCCTTCCTTCTGATCAGCAATCACATCCAAGCTTTGAGTACAAGTATGTACAACTCACATACGTTGTAAAGAAAAATGTCGCCTTTCCTTTCTTTGGTACATAAAAATGGATGGGGGCGTAACACCTATATTCCTAAAACAAGAAACACTAAGCTAGCAATGTTTTCATTTCCAAATAACAAACCTTTCCAATAAAATAGAAAATAATACATTAGTGGTTAAATATTGTACATTGCGAGCCCATTACAACAATCTTATATTTATTTAGAGAAAGGCGATAAACACCTCATATCAACCCTATACTTCCAGAACAAAATTCTTAAAAATATTCCAGCAGGCCTACATCATTGTAGCAATGATCATATTTTGTTCCTATTCCTCCTCTCCAATGCGTACCGGTGATAGAACTTTGTATTGCGTGTTGCTTCTAGTATAAGTCCTTTTTGTTCCTCCAGCCTCTCTAGCAATGATCATATAGTAGAATAGGGAATAGTACTGGAGAACTCAAATAAGAAAACCATGGAGAGATCGCTAACTGCTAACATCAATGACAATCACCAATGGCAACTGCCTGCAATTATAATAAAAACTATGAATCCCATGCCATTAACGGAAGAAAACCCTGCCAAACTATTTGTCTAGTGGGATTCACAAATGTTCAATATCTGTGCCAAAAAAATAAATATAACGGATGCCACAATCCAATTTTTCTTTAATAAATATGCATGCTATAGTTACTCAAACAAAAATTGTCAAGCATTATCTGGGTGCCATCCGAGAATGGCTTGAGGTCGCTGGGGTTAAACAAGTAATCAATATCCCAAAAATTTAGTTTTGCTGGGGAAACATCTACTCTAAAGTGAATGAAACAACACAGAAGTGAAGCCCTCGAACCACATCACAAGAATGCACATAAAGAAAGCATTACTTACCCTTTCTTTACAGACACTTTAATTTTGATCAACAAGATAAGGATCTTCTCTGATGATAAACAGAAGATAAAACCAGCATTGGTTCAGAAAATCGCAAAAGGACATCTCTCAGCACTTACCAAGTTATCGGATCCAAAATGATGGTGGATGAGGGATTCTGCCAGCCGAGCTGAAGCCTCTATATGTTATCTCCCAACAAAGTGAGCTATGAATGCCAGCTTATTAGTTCGTCTTTATCATAATCAGATGAAAAAGTCCAGGTTGCGTCAGCAAGAAGAAACCTACAATTTGGCATTTGCAGGACGTCAAGACATGGGTTGAAAATAAAATATTAAGAGAAATAAATGCAATTCCTAAACAATTCTTGAAATTATTACAGTCGACATCACAAGCACACTGCAAGAACAATAATCAAACCAAAACCAAGAGAGCTGCGAGCCTTCTTCTTCCTCTGCTGCTGCTGGTAGTGCTTGTTGCCATTGCTGTGACGTGGGCACGTCAAGCTGCACGAAATCAAAAAGCGCGTGTGCTCACTCGTGTGATGGCCGTGTTAGCCGCCAGCACAACAAGCCGCATGCTCGCCCGTCCGCTTGGCATGTCGGTACATCATTATATGAATTATTCAGTGACACATTAAAAAATTCAGTGCCACATAAAAAAAATCTTCTAATAATCTAAAGCCATAAAAGTATATAATGTAATAAATCAGTTTTGCATACCATGTGTGTCGTGGAGTTGCCCGATGCCCGATGGCCGTGCTCGGCGTCGCCCGCTCCTACGGCTGTACCGCATGCACACAGAAGAATCCGATGGGAGCCGCTTGGTCGCCACCCCGGTCCGCGCTCGCCGCGTCTGCTGTCGTCGTTTCGCGAGTCTCGTCGAGTGCCGCGCCGGCCCGCGCCCTGCTCGCCGTGTCCGCCAACGACGTTTCTCGACCCCGGTCCTTCGCGTCCTGCTCGCCGCGTCCACCGCCGTCCGCGAGCACAACCGGGCGGCAGCGAAAGGTAGGGTCAGGAGGAGGAGGATGGCCATGATTCAGCGTGAGACATGGGTGTTGGGTCCGGGATCTCCCGCACGGGTGAACCGACCGCTCACCGGCGTTTTCATTCACTATGGCCAGAGGTAAGGTAGAAGAAGGCAGGGAGAACAGAGTGCGCACACACAACACAAGCACCAGCGTTGGGCGGAGCTATGCAGAGATGGCAAAACTAAAATCGCTCACTTCACTAAGTTGCAGTGGGAAGCTATATATACAACTCTACCCATCTAATCCTAGTACACATACATGCCAGTCATCATGCTGCATCTGATGACTAGATGTGACAAATAGGGGCTGACTTTTGGCGCTTGCCTGCTATTGTGGCTATAGGCGAGGGGGAAGCCTTTCGGGCGCTGCCCTCGCCGCGACGCACGTCTGAGAGGAGAGCAACAGATTACTTTACAATGGGAGACAGGACAGAATGAGAATGCGCTAGCTCCGTCACCATCCTTTATCCTTTACCACGGTCCATGGCAGCAATTCCTTCCTTTCTCACGAGCTCATTCCTTTATCGCTCGGCGTTAATCGCGGATGAGGTAGCCACGGCTCGGGCCATCACGCGCCACGCTGATTACGGGCGCGGGGTCGTGGCGTGGGGGTGCGATGAAGCCTGGCTTCACCACCAAAACAACTTAGGCCATCCGATCGTAGCGAAGTTTCATGAGAATAAATCTCAACCATTTATTTCTAAAAGACATGCTTTTTTGGTCGCACGAAGCGAGATAGATATAGCAAAAACCATATGTGGGGGACAAATTTTGACTGGTCCCTTATAGTAGAGATGATTTGATTGGTCTCTTATAGTAGAGATGATGATACATTATAAGTAAATACAAGGCTGTCCGGATATGCCATGACCCACCTGGCATACCCCGTGGATCCGCTCCTGCTTAGCCGCATACACAGCCACCACAAGATTGAACTAGCACTAGCGTTTTCTATACTGTGGGGTGAAGGCTGTGGTACCTATACCACAATGTGTGGTCCCAAACACGCCAACAGATGTTAAGATCTACTAGCATGAAAATTTTGATAGGATACAACTAGGCAAAAAATGTCTTTTTTTTATCGGGTATAACTTGGACGCACACAATCCACACACTCCACACACACATATGCGTGCGTGTCCGTCCACACGCAAAGAAGAAATTAGGAGGCTCTCTAGCCTCCGGTGCGCGAAAAACACACAATACCACCGAACGCACATGTATGCGTGTAGCATAAATTTTCTAGAAAATTTTCAGAAAAAGGTGTGACATCAACACCAAGGTATGAACTCTGGTGGATAGCATCCTACTGGACTAACTTACCACTGAATCACATACCCATTCACCTAAAAATGCCTTAAGTAACATAATTTGTGAAACTCTAGCTCATCCACTAAAAATAAATAGTGGCATCGGTGTATCAGGTCACATATTTGAAAACTATAATTTTTCAGGGGAAAGTGAAAGTTTGCCAATTGTGAGGCTGAGTGTAAAAGAACAATTGCGTTGCATGATTTTTGTGGACTTATTTTCAAGTCAAATCAACGTCAGTCTATTGCCGTCTACGTAAAAGTACGTCAACTAATCATTTAATGCATCTTTGACCTAAGAGAGGTGAAACAATAACACAAATTCAGTGTGACAACAATTAGTATTTATTGGACTAAATTAACTGGCCCTGTATAGGCCGATAGGGCATCTATCCTATCCGAATCTCCTAATCATACAAATCCACGACCTCCACATCAACTTAAAAATATTTTTGCATTTGCCTTGTAATCATACAAGCACAGGAACAGAGAACAAAAGTTACAGGGACACAGAGAATTCAAAATTTAGGCACAAATCAGGTTCTCCTTCCCTTTTCTCAAAAAATATAAAAATATTCAAAGACCCTGACAGTCAACAAAGTGAGGTTAGATAATGCAACATGAGGCTAAATTACGACAATATCTGCATTATACCCTCATTATCATTTCCCTGGTAAGTACACCATCATTTTGTAATTAATAAGACAAAAAGAATAAACATCCAGCATCCACGGGCGGGTCATGAGCACCCAGAGATGAGCCCAAAATTAATCCGGTATGCAGGAACCAACATGGAGATCTTAATCTTTATGCGAATGGGCTAGGTATTGGCTTGTGTATTTGTCCACCTTTGGCCCAGAAGAACCATACTTATTGTCATAGTACTCCACGCATGCAGAACCAATTAATGCAGCTAGGGTTAGAGCTTGCGCATGCAACCTGCAAAAATCAACAGTATATTAGCATAACTGAATCCAGTTAGAACTAAAATTTACTAAAAGAGCTGCCATTTCTATACTCCACAATACATGAAATGGCTATGTCCTATGGGCAGCAATGGGAGCTACGGGTGTTCATCCAGGGTTTGGATGGTTTCCCACTCAAGGCAACAGTTATCTAAAAAACAAATACTCCCTCCATCCACAAAAGGATACAACTATGGGATTAGTCAAACTAGCTTAACTTTGATCAAGTTTATAGTGAATAGTCTCTAACTAGGTCTACAACGAAAATATATTTCATATTAATTTAATGGTACTTCTTTTGTGTCATATATATTAGTACTTTTTTATACAATTTGGTCAAACTTCAAATCGTTTGACTCCTCGAAAAGTGAGAATTGCATCTATTTGTGGACGGAGAGAGTAGCACGCAAACTTGCTGTTGGATGCTTGTACCAAATTTACATGCAAACTATCTTTTTAAAATCCTCAACACGTTCTAAACAGCTCTATTGAGCACAGTGACAAGTAAGAAGTGCCAATGAAGAAAGCGCAATAAATTACATCACATGTGCACTAAAAAGGAGCCTAAGAGGCAAATAAATAGCGAAAGATGACACGTGTTACATGAACATATGAAGAGCTAAGACCCAAACACAAGTATCAAAATGAAGAGAAAGCTTCTAAAGAATCCATATTCTATCCAAAAAAATATCTATGATTATTTAAATATCCTTTTTGCATACTGCATTGAGGTGAAGATTGCTGCCCTTTTTCAAGAGCCATGGTGAAAGAAGAAAGTTTATCAAGGATTTAATCTTTCCTATGCAGTTCTGTGCATCAACAGACTACAATTGTGGTAACTAAGTTTGCAAAGTTGGAAAAACATTGAATATCCACATATTAGAAATTAAATTTGGTATTCTGGTCCACTAATTTCATCACCGGAGCCCTAAAAAAATTGCCAAAAACTGGGGCCATCAATATAGTGGCAGTCTGGTTTGGTCACATATGGCACAAAAACGAGCAAGGCCTGCCTAATGTTGGCAGCATGCTGAAGGTATTAGGAAGTAGAGAGATATCAAACATGTGCTGAGTTTGGTGATGTGACCATTTTCAGCAGTTCGGCATGGCCACAGTGCGCGTACAGACAAAGTGCCAAACAAATTAACAATTAGGATTGGCAGCTAAAGAGTGCAATTTCATAGGTAAAGAATATTCGAACCTAAAGTAGGACACTCATTTTCATGGATTGGATGGCGCTATTTGCTGAGATTCTTTCTAGCTGGGTGGTCGACGAGCATAAGCAAATGCATTGAGGTGCGCAAATAAACAGAGAGCTTGATACTCTTCCAACTTTACTAGTGACAAGAGGCTGCCTAGACTAACCCTTATACAGCCTGCACTTGTATATCAAGCAAAATCGACAGCTTGGGCAGCCACGGCTCGACTACGAGCAAACTAGCAAGAACCTAATAAATTACTAAGAACAGAAAGGAACACATAAAGTCTGTATACCTAACAAAATAAGTGGATCATCAAGTGCAAGTGCACAACAACTAATAAACTCCTAAAGTTTAACTTCCATCCAGAATGATCTGGAGGAGTTAAACTGCTCCTTGAACGAAATAACATAATGCTATCAGTCTGACACCCAAACCTGAACATAAATTGTGAAACTAAATCTTTCACAGAATAAACAATTGTGCAGCCTTATAAACCCCATGCACTGCAATTATGCCGAACACCACCTACTTTAGAATCACTTGGAAACAATTACTCCCTCTGTCCCTAAAAAAGAGTCATTCTCGCTTCCCAAAAAGTCACCTTTTCACTTTGACCAAATATATTTAACAAAATATTAATATTTATGGTACATAATTAGTATCATTAGGTAGATCGTTGAATATACTTTCATAATAAACTTATTTGGAGATATAAATGTTATATGCATTTTCTACGAACCTAGTCAAAGTTGAGAAAGTTTGATCAGCACGTTTCCTATAGCGACTCTTTTTTAGGGACGGAGGAAGTACAACAACAACAAAAAAAATAGTAATTTTTCCGCAGTCAGTAAAAAAATTCCAAAATTTGCCTGATCGCTATCCTTTCCCTCTGATGTTACCAACTGTGGCTGATATGTTAGCAATTACTAAGTTAATTTCCATAAACTCACATAAGGGAAGTCTGCCCAAGCTTCATATAGATATAGATAAAATCTAAGTTGACTGGGTCTGTTCATAATTCACATTTAGCTCCTTGGCGTTTCAGGAAACAATCATTCACACATATGAAAAATCAACCTTTTTTTGCTGTGGTAGTTGTAGCATTTAGAAACCATATTTTGCTAAGAAATGGTCAAAACCAGTTAGTTAATTGCATCTTCATCAAGAAAAAAAAGAATCGAATGTGGTATCTTGCCTATGATAGACAAGGCTGCCTACACTGTAATGATAAACTTAGTGAAACTAAATGGGAAATGAAGCAAACCTTGCGTGGATGATCTTGACGCTAGTCTTCATATTGGGCCGCGACCAGTTGTAGGCGATCGAACTGCTGATCCCACCCAGCCAGAGGCAACCTTTTCTCCAAAAAAAAAAAAAAAACATCGCGACAATCAGATCACTTTGCATCCAGCAGGAGGAATAATCTAAAATACTGCCTTTCCCCAAAATTACTCTCATAAATTCGTGATAGATTTTCACAGTACAGATTTCGAAACTCCGTTACTAACATACAAAGCAGATGTATATAAGAAAGAAACTGCAGGGATTTCGGATACATCAGAAACCAACGCCGAATAACTAGATCCGGGCGAAGAAAACGAATCCGTGGGAAAACTGACGAGGAATACCTACGGCTCGGAGCTTGTGGTCGATGACCCACTTCCTCATGGATTCGATATTGCTTGGGGCCTCCGCCATTTGCTTCGCTTTCCCCTCTTCTCCTCCCCACCCCTCCGAATTTTCGGCGTCTCTTTCTTGTCCGAGTTTTTTTTTCTCTCTTCCTGGCTCTGACAAGGGAAATATGTCTGGCTCTTGTTATATAACAGAGCTTTGTTTGTTTTTAGTCCTTGAAATATGCTAGAATTCGCTTAGTATCCACACGTGGTAGGATTCTTTTCACATGTTGCGTTATATAAAAAAGTTTTTTATGTTTTTTTTTTACTTTGTTCACTACCTTTTTCTTGCGATCGAAGAAAGAACGTTACCGTTTTGTAGTAGACCAAAACCAGCTGGATATTTGAAGTAGATGAGGATTAAATTTTAACGGATTACCTTATTGAATTGAAGTAAGGTAGGCAAAATTAACAGCACGGTGCTTGTCGCCTACTTCTATGGGTATGATGGTTAGGTGGTGAGCGCCTGAGCGTCTTCTTCAACAACAACGGTCTTCCTCCACATTTAGATCTACAGTTTAGAGGCGCCTGGGTCGAGCCATGATACTATTTATTGAGTTTTATTTCCTTTTTTTCTTACTGCATGTTACATATTTCTTTTTTTATTTACTATGCTTAGTCGGTCCTAATCGAGATTAAACCGAACTACTGAATTTGCTTGGTCTTGATAACTTTCGTTAACCAATTGCTTCTGAGCTTTTGTTAACCAAAATTTGAGAAAAAAAAAAGCAGATTGATGGCCTCATGGCTACTCCTGCACTGCACCGAAATGGTAATCTATTATGCTATCTTGCAGCTATACATAAATCAGTAGCCAAGGAAGGTGTGATTTGCAAATAAATTGAAGAGTAGCACCAAACGTCCAAACCAACGCGAGAACGGCACGTTTGGGCGGGGCGGCGGTCAAACACCGGTCACAGGCGGTGAACCCGGGGCCGCACCAGCGCCCACCGGGCCAGTCCAACCGATCCAGCACCAGCAGATCGCGCCGGGCAGAAACGCGCCGCGCGGCGGGGCCTGCACGGGTGGACTGGCGGCGGCCGTGGCGAGAGAGTCCCTCTGCTTTGGACTCATCACGTTCACGTTCGCCACGTTCTTGCGACGGGACGCGGTAGCAGCCAAGTCGGCCTTGTGCTCTGTTTTTTTTCTTTAAAATAATTTTTAACCGCATAGAAGTTTTTTTTTTTAATTTAACTGCATAGAAGTGGGCCTAAAACTTCTTTATACAAGAGGCCCATTTCGTGGCCGAGATTGGTCGACCCAGTTGAAGGCCCAACCGAGGAAGATGTGTGTGTCTCGCTTGCCGATTTCCTCTAACCACCAGTGGCGCGGGTTCGAGAGGAAGGCGACGCCGAAAACCCCCTTCCTCTTCCTCTCCAGTCTCCACCGCGAGGCGTAGGGTTTAGGCGGGGGAATGGCGGGAGGACGGGGAGGCGCCGGGCGCGGCGAATCCTCGCCGGCGATCAAGCCAATCAGTAAGGCGGTGGTGCACCGCATCTGCTCTGGCCAGGTCATCTTCGACCTTTCCTCCGCCGTCAAGGAGCTCGTCGAGAACAGCCTCGACGCGGGCGCCACCTCCGTCGAGGTCAGCCTCAAGGCCTACGGCGAGGAGTGGTTCAAGGTGGCCGACAACGGATGCGGCATATCTCCCTCCAACTTCCAGGTGTGGGCGGCGAGCTGCTCTAATGCGTGGACCCACCGATTCCCCCCATCTCTCTGCTTTAGAACGTTGCCACCAATTGCTAGTCGCTAAACATGTTGCTGATACTTTAATAGGCTCTTGCTCTTAAGCACCACACGTCGAAGATATCGGATTTCTCCGACCTCGGATCCGTGGTTACCTTCGGGTTCCGGGGCGAAGCTCTGAGTTCGCTCTGCGCGCTGGGGAAACTGACGGTTGAGACGAGGAGCAAGGATGAGCCCGTTGGGACGCATTTGGAGTTTGAGCACTCGGGCGTGGTGGTTAGTGAGAGGAAGACCGCACGGCAGGTTGGAACCACGGTGACAGTAGAGAAATTGTTCTCCACCTTGCCAGTCCGGAGCAAGGAGTTTAGCAGGAACGTTCGGAAGGAGTATGGGAAAGTGATCTCTCTGCTGAACGTGAGTTTTTATGTTTCAGTTTATAAGTTCTTTTTTGGCATGTTTGACGCTGAGGAGCTTGCCAAATGATTAAGGTAGCTGTCCCCCAGTTATGTTACTAATTATTACATCTTACCTATGCTAGGCTTATGCCTTGATTGCCAAAGGGGTCAGATTACTCTGCACTAATACCGTTGGGAAAAATTCTAAAATGGTTGTGCTTAGAACTCAAGGAAGCAATTCTATGAAAGACAATATCATTACTGTATTTGGTCCAAATACTTTCAAATGTCTGGAGCCCTTCAGTGTTACCACCTCGGATGGCTGCCAAATAGAGGGCTTTCTTTCAAAACCTGGACCTGGTACTGGCCGCAGTTCAGGAGATAGACAATTTTTTTATGTGAATGGCAGACCTATTGATATGCCAAAGGTCACAAAACTTGTCAACGAGCTATACAAAAGTTCAAATGCCAAGCAATATCCTGTGGTTATCCTGGATTTCCGTATTCCAACTACATCCTATGATGTGAATGTTGCACCTGATAAGAGAAAAGTTTTCTTCTCGTCCGAGATCATGATTCTGCAGTCTTTACGTGAAGCTGTTGAAAATCTGTACTCCCCTCTGCAATGCAGTTTCTCAGTCAATCACATCACAGATCCTGAAAAGGAAGGGGATGCTGTTACTGATGGGCATAATGAAGATACAAATGCTATCACAATGGCGAATGTCTCAGCTTCCGACAATATTGATGAAGATGAAGAAACAGACAGTGAGGATCATGTTTCCCCAGAGAACCAGGAATTGCCTTCTTCAGTGGCAAAGGTAGCCATTGAAGCAACGTCTAGAGATGCAAGCCCCTTGTCAAGAGGCACAGCCACTCAGGCTGATAGATCTGCTTGGCTTCCATCCTTCGCATATGACCAGCCAAAAAGATCGCCTAAAGAAGGAAAAAGTTTTGCATTGGGAACAAATCGTTTCGGAACTGGGCTTGCTGCAAAATCTACTTATTCAAGTACCATTCAGTCTTCTCTTATGAACTTTGTATCACTAAACAAGCGGAAGCATGAAGACGACTGCACTCTTATTTCTGAAACTCCAGTGCTGAGAAGAGGGACATGCTCAGAACAAGTGAGGAGATCAAGTTTAGAAGAAAACTTTGTTACACCAGAAAAGCAGAACCGTGAAGATGATTGCATTATTTCTGAAGCTCCAGTGCTGAGAAGTGGGACATGCTCTGAACTAGACAGGAGAACAAGTTTAGAAGCCGACTTCGCATCACCAAATAAGCAGAAGCATGATGACAATTGCACTCTTATTTCCGAAACCCCAGTGTTGAGAAGAGGGACAAACTCAGAACAGGTGAGGGGAACGAGTTTAGAAGCAAATTCAGCACCTGCATTAAGCTCAAGCACGTACAATATTTCTGAGTTCAATTTACCTCTCGAAACAAACTCTTTAAAACAGCATCTCCCACAATCTTTTGGATCTGTGAGGACGGATGTTTCACCACAGCATTCTAAACAACCTAATATTGTGACCCTTGGGGCGGAGGTATCAGGTCCATGTGATGTTCACACTACAGAATCTGATGTGGTAGGCAAACTGTTTGCTGTTAGATACAGAGTTCTTGAGGCTTCAATTATATCTGGATTTGGACTTCTGCCGATAATTTATATGTGTTCCTGTTCTTATGTTGCTTGCTCACCTTTATTCTTAAGTCTTCTCTTGTTAAATGCTTTGCCTGCTGGTCTTACATTTAGAGTTCATGGTGATTTTCTTGTTTGTAAATTGATTAGGCACCACCAATCTAATTTTGGTATTTTGTAACTCACTTATTGGTTTTGGTTATGTAAATAATAGAAATTGCTTCTGGAAGAGTTTCTTAATTACCTATGTTATGATTCAGTATGAAGCCAACTCATAGTTTTTTTTGGGTCTTTTTATCACTTTATTTATAAGATCAACTGCCGAATCCTTGCAGGATGAACATCATGGTCGATGCTTTTCAGCTTCTGGTGCTCCCAACAAATATTCAGAATCACGACATCAGAATGCATCGGCTGATAGTCCTTTGCCTGATGCTCAGGATTATGATGATGGTGCTGTAGTATGTTATGCACCTGTACAATATCCCACTATTCAATTTACGGTTGCCGAGCTTAGGAGAAGAAGAAAGAATGGTTATATGGTATCCCATACAAATAAACCATATTGTCTTGAGAAAGCAACAAGGTTGCTGTTACCACAAACAACTTGTGTTATCATCAGGATTTGTGTTACTATTTCTATAATGCATAGTTTCACTTTCCTTAATGTAGGTGCTATAAAGCTGCAACACTGGATATTAATGTACCCTTAGCTGATGAGGCAAAATCAAATTCATTAGCTGCAGCCACCAATGAGTTGGACAGGCTTTTCAGTAAAGATGATTTTGGAGAAATGGAGGTGCTTGATATATATATTTTAATATTGGTGCTCCTTTTTGTTAAGGTTCCATGTTATTTTATACTATTATAAATGAGGTTGAAAGGGATAGACGCTCCTTCCAATGATTTTGTGGAAGGGAGGAAGCCCAGGTTGGCTAACCCACCACCCACGATACTAGTAAACTCACCCCAGGTTCCTCCTCAAATTATACTGTCAAGATATGTTGGAGTACCTTGATGGTTTTTTTTTTCTGTGTCAAATCTGGACACGCTGACAGTTGACACTCATTTCATGGTTTAACTGTTTAAGTGAGCAGTATTGCCAAATTCTTGGAAACTTGGAAAGTAGCTTACAAGAAAACTAGAAAGTGAATTTCTAGAACTAAAAGATATCTTTTACTACTGTTAAGGGTAAAATGGTCATTGATCTAATCTAGGTTTTGGTGAGTTTCATATACTACATATATCCCCATTGGGGACTGTTCAATACATATAATTATCCATCCTCCTCTCATCTTATTCGAACATTTATAACCTATTTGTTTATTTGCTTGATACATATTCATTTTTTTAAAGTATTGATTACATGAAATTTATACAATTGTTTTGGAGAACTAACTATTTCATCTATTAGGTTGTTGGGCAATTTAATCTTGGTTTTATCATTGGAAAGCTCGACCAGGATCTGTTTATTGTAGATCAGGTATCTTATTGTAGTTTTTAGTGCGCGAGTTGCAACTTGCAAGGTGCATTGATTGAGGTTCTGTTTTTGTTATTAGCATGCTGCTGATGAGAAGTACAACTTTGAGTGCCTTTCACAGTCAACAACTTTAAATGTACAGCCTCTTCTCCAGTAAGTAAACGAACCCATTATTTTTGCCTGCTATTTCTAGGCATTGAACTCTAAACTTTGTGTGTTTTGAATGTTTCCAAGTATGGATTCATAATGTTGGCAAAATATTTTTCCATACCATTAGCCAAAATTGCCATATGCCTCACTTCTGTTGGGTATTTGTTGGTATGTTCAAATGCAGGCCACTGAGACTTGATCTATCACCAGAGGAAGAAGTAATTGTTTCTATGAACATGAGCACCATCAGGTATTGGATTGTCTTACTGCTTTGATTCGATTTGTCCGCTATTAAGAGGGTGTTTGGTTTCCCCCTACTAAATTTTAGTCCCTGTCACATCGGATGTTTGGACACTAATTTGGAGTATTAAACGTAGACTAATTGCAAAACTAATTGCACAGATTGAGACTAATTTACGAGATGAATCTATTAAGCCTAATTAGGCTCATGTTTAGTCCTTCTAATTAGTATCCAAATATCCGATGTGACACCTACTAAACTTTAGTCCCTGGATCCAAACACCCCCTAACTCTAGGATCAAACAAAATAGTGATGAGTATGCGTCTTTTATGAAGATATCCAGTTGATTATGTAACTAGATGTTTGTTACATCTAAAAAGAAAAAAAAGTACATTTGCTTGTTGAAACAACATCACATTTATTATTTTGTAGTTTCTCTTGTAATATTTGTCCATAACTCACAACTCACGTTGTCCATGTATAGTTTTTTCCCCTAAAAAATGCAGGAGATCTGCACATCATTATATTAAGAAAGAGAGAAAAAGGAGTCTAAGAAAACTCATACAAGCCCAATAGGGTTGCTTCTAGTACAGAAGGGTTGCCAAGAAAGAATAAAAACTACAACCAATGGCCCATACCCAACTCCTATGGCCAAATGCCCCTGAGAGGCTGAGACCTTTGGCCCTTGTCATAGCCATACACCATAAATGGGCCTCATCTTTAATGTTCTGTAGGACATTAAGTCTAGGTGAGCCCCCCTCAAAAACACAGCCGTTCCTATGTTTCTAAATCCACCATGCAACTAAGTGACTAACACAACTATAGGGTTGAGGCCCTTGTGGTATTGCTTAGCCACTTGTTGCCTAGCTTAGAGCTACCATTCAGTAAAGACCATACCATTTGGCCCTGGTGTGTGCCGTGGCAGACTAACCAAGGACAACACAACTAACCACGCTTGTCTCGAGAACACACATGCCCAGGTTTTCGAAATTTCCTTCCATGGTTCAAAATCAACAGCCCCTAAGAAGTGACGATAGGCTGACGTGGTCATGATCTCTCTCGAGGAAGATGGTGGCATTGGTGACCAAGTGTGTTGATCCTTACTCAACTCCAACAGAGAGATTAACCACAGATAAAATCTCCCATAACTGAACGTATTCCAGCAAGGCCTCTACTGACAGATCACCTCTAATATCCTGGATCCAAGTACCATCAGTTAGTGCCTCCTGCACTGTTCTTTGCTTCAATGCTCTCTTCTGCACATGCTTTCACAAAGCCGGAGCAAGGACTGACAGGGATAATCCCATGCAACCATTTGTCAAGCCAAAAGAATGTCCTGCAGCCATCTCTGACAATCGAAATGACTGACAGAACATTGCAACCAAGTGAGGTTGTACTTAAATCAAGGGAAAATTGGATTCATACCATCAAGAGAACCAATTTTTTTAGATATATTCCATCAAAAGAATCCAGTTTAGATGCGTACCATCAAAATATGTCACTTCTTACCTGCTTATCACTTCTGTTAGCTCCATGTTAACTGTGACCATTGTACCCTTGCAACAAACGATAACTCCCTTTGCAAGTCGTCGGGGAGGCGGGGAGCATGCTGCCAGGGAGGTCTCCGAGGAGACACGACACCAGTCGCTCCTTCACGTGGGTCGGGCTCCAGTGGAGCCATGGAGGGGAGGGCGGAGCCTCGGGCGCAGGTGGCGGACCACCTGGAATCACGCTGCTGGGGAGCGCGCTGCCGGAGAAGCTGCCAAGAAGAGGCGCCGCTGGTCACTTCGTGCGGATTGACCTCCCGTCTCCAGTACAGTCACGTGCTCTCTTTCCCGTCTCGATACAGATTCGCGAGTTGTTTTCATGAAATGGCAAAATTGGGACTTTATACATACTGAATCCGAAAAAAAACAAAGAACTGCCAACTACGGTAACAAAGTTAACAGAGTGGTAGATTTCTATTGCATCTCCATCTTTTGCTGGTACATATCTAAACTGGATTCTTTTGATGGTATATATCTAACAATAGGTTCTTTTGATGGTATAGACCCAATTTTCCCTTAAATGAAGATTAGCCCATGGACGCTCAGGTTGAATCCTTTTTAGCCATAGCTATCTCGTTTTCGGTGCCCAGCCTAGCAACTCAAGTCAAGAATACCCAATCCTCCAAGATCAGTTGGCCTTTTGACCTGGCCCCTCCATTAACCTCCTTGCGCCCTTTCCACATGAAGGCTCTCCTTATCTTATCGATTGCCTTAATAACCCATTTAGGGAACTACAAGACAAAGAGCTGATAAATATGTATGGATATAAGCACTGAACGGACAAGAGTAGCCCTCCCTGCCGGGTGCACCATGGCTGCCTTCTACCTAGACAGGTTATCAGCAATCCTAATCCTATCAATAATCACATAGAATTCAGCTTTGGGAAGTTTTTTGATTGACAATGGTAGTCCAAGATATTTACAGGAAATTTCTTGAACCTTGCAAGGGAAGGAAGATTGCACCAATTCCATATCATGTTCTCGGCACTGTATGGGGCTCACAGAACACTTGCTAGTATTGTTGTCTAAACCTGGTGCTTCACTAACTTAAGGATCCCCTTGATTAATTCCAAGTCCATGTTTGGTCGCAAAAAAAAAAAAAAGAACGATATCATTAGCATGAATAGAGACCCGCTGACTGTTACCCTCATGGGAGGAGGGGCTGGAGCATATCATTGATGCTTGTGTTGCTAATGAGCGTATTGAGCACATCCACCACTAAGATAAACAACATGTATAGTTTGTTATCTGTACTTATTTTATTGTTTTCTATTGCTTAAAAGCAAATACATGGTATAAGTAATATAACTCTTGTTATTCATCGATCATTTCCTTGTGTTTTGCTTCCAGAAAAAGTTTTGCTGCCTATGTTTAATATTGAAATGATCAAATTCATTCCTGACATAATCTTCAACTGTGTGCCAACTTGGTCATCTTGATTTTTGCAATGCCTTTTTTACCTATGTAGGCATCTTATAACTAATACTGAGAAACGCATTGTATGTTTTCACTATTTAACAACAGCTCTTGTTGCCTCACATGTTTTCTTCCATTTTCTCAACTTTCAGAAAAAATGGTTTTGTTCTGGCAGAAGATTTTCATGCTTCCCCTGGTAACCATTATCTTTTGAAAGCTGTGCCTTTCAGCAAAAATATTACGTTTGGTGTTCAAGGTATTTGTTATTTTCATATGTCAGAAATTTTGTTTTTGTGCATGTCAAACATGGTCCTATTCTGAAATCCCTTGATTTAGATGTAAAGGAGCTGATCTCCATGCTTGCTGATAGTCAAGGAGACTGTTCAATAATAAGTAGCTACAAGCTGGATACAACCGATTCTGTTTGCCCTTCGAGGGTTCGTGCTATGTTGGCTTCTAGGGCTTGCCGGATGTCTACTATGATAGGTGATCCACTAACAAAAGTCGAGATGAAGAAGGTAATTACACATTCAATTAGCTTTTGATGGTACTTCTATGGTCTTTATTAAAGTTTAAATGTTGTTTCTCTCTCTTTAGAGTTCAGAAAAACTCCTATACTTCCAAACTTTGACTTGCCTCGCCGCTCCCCAACCCCCATCCCTTCCCTCGCCTCCTCCCCCTCCCCGCCGCTCCTCTAGCCATGGTTATCGCCACCCTGAGTCACGCAACAGTGAGGACAAGGCTTCAGCACCTGCGAACGAGAAGAGGTGGATAATGTCTGATTTTGAGGTTGGAAACCTCTTGGGAGGGGCAAGTTTGGCCATGTTTATCTGGCCAGAGAAAAGAGTAGTCTTATTGTGGCTTTGAAAGTTCTTTTCAAGAGCCAGCTCAAACATTCTCAGGTGGAGCATCATCTGCGACACGAAGTGGAGATTCAGAGTCATCTTCATCATCCCAATATTCTTCGCCTGTATGGGTACTTCTATGACCAGACCTGGGTTTACCTAATCCTGGAATATGCTGCCAAGGTTGAACTGTTCAACAACTCACATTTCGTCACTGGGTAGAGCTCTAATCTACCTTTTGTTGACGCTAATTAGGTCACCACACCGGTAGGAGTTAGATCGCTCGGTATAGGCAGGCCAAAGATCAGCCTAGCCGACCCTCAAGTGTAGAGAACTCGGTGCATGGGCTTCCTCTTCACAAGGTTCTTGAGCACCGGTGGATTGTCCAGAACGCCGACCCTTCCGGCGTGTAGAGAGGGTAGAGCCACCACTGGCTGAAGTCTGCTTCTGCTCCACTCTCCCCAAGTCGAGGGGAGTGCTATTCTTTCCACTGTTGTTTATGGCTCCGGCCCTACCAACTAAGCTTCTGTGGCCCGAACTCCCCCACCCAGCCACCCTGAATTATCTTGTACTACTAGCACCGTGTAGCTCAACGGAGATACCAGCCAACTAATATGGCAAATTGCCCTGTACTAATGTAGCATACCAGCATTCCCTGTTGAACAACCTTCTTACTCGCCTATATGAATATAATATCTATTCAAAAAAGAAAAGTACTCCTATATGGCTATATGTAATGCTTTCATCCCATTTTGTGTCTCTGCCATTGGAAGATAAGCATTCCTTTAAAACTACCTAGTGACGTGCCCTTTTTTTGCTTTTGCACTTTCAGATACTTAAAAACCTGACAGGATTAAGGTCCCCTTGGAACTGTCCACATGGGAGGCCAACGATGCGTCACCTAGCTGACCTGCGTACTATGAAAAACAAAGGTAAGAATTAACTCACACTCGTCATCTCTGCCCTTCTCTAGGAGTAATATATATGGCTATTGCATATTGACAAATCTCTTTTCAATGTTGCAAAAATTCTGCTGGAACAGATATCACGTTTTAACGGTAGCCCTGCTGATTGGCTGATTACGTTGGGGCCTATGCTGTTCCACTTTGGTTACTCCAAGTCGCAATGGAAGAATGTTTGCAATTATGGCGTAGTATGCATGTTGTGGCGCTCCAGGCCTCCGCAGCGCCCTTGGTGCATCAGAATGCAAGATCCTTTCCGATCAAACGGACTACTTTGCCTGTGGTAAATCTATGGCGTTATTCATTTGTTTATTTCTGTCCAGGACGTATGGTGTTTTGTTTTGGCAAAGTGAAGCTTGTGAATTGGCGAGGTCTAACTATGTACTTTCATTCATGCATACTCGATGATGGGTCTACCACCTCTAGCTATGCATAATACTTGTACATACCTGGCCTAGTTATGTAGTCCAGCTAAGCCGTACGTCTCAACTGCGATGAGGTATTTGCTTGTGTACTTTTCTTTTGCAAAATATATGTATGCAAGGAGAGATTATAATTCGTCTTGTTATGCTTCGATATGCTACAAAATAAGTGCAAGTGTCTGTGAGCGTTTCCCTGCAGCTGCAGCCCTGCACACAGGATCAGAAACACAGACTGCACGCAATGGCGCAAGGCAATACACCGACCAATCCATTTCAATCATCACAGATAAATAAGCTGGATAGCTGAATTGGTTCGTAAACAAGTATGCATCGGTCCGGTCACAATACCATCAATCATACTGAGGTGTCATCACTCTCCCAATAACCTCACGACCTACCGGCCGTGAATCGATCGGATCATCACTAATAATTTGATTGGAAATGAGCACGCCGTACGTACTACAGCTAGCAACAACGATCAAATTCATCCTACCATGCAGTGCAACGCAGGTAGAGGTAGGTAGCAGCGAGCAATGTCCACTTCACGGCACATCACAATCACAACGCATGCAGAGAGTGGCATGTGCGTCGCTCCACCCCTCTCGGCTAAAACCCCAAAACGCACTGCCGCGAGCAGCTGTTGCGGTGTTGCCGCAGGCTGGTCAGAAAGGAAATCGCGTGCCTTTCGTTCCTGGCTAAAGTTTCTTTGCCGAACTCGAGCTAGGACATCGGAGGTGGTGGGGATCGGGGCGATGATGGGGCTTCTGCTCGACGTGCGCGCCTTTCCTAGCTAGCTATGCCGTCGTCGTCTCTCCGGCATGTGAATGTGAATCTCGTCACATCCTGCCGCCGCAGTGGGCTGGGCTGGGCTCCCTGAAAGCGAAAGCAACAACGAGCCGAAACCGAAGACCAATGCATACATGTGACGATCAGATTGATGCTGAGATCGAGACGGTGGTTTCATGAGTTTGCGATGATACACGCGTTGTTGCGCCGCGCTCCAGGGTCCAGCCCTCCGCAGGCGCCCTTACGTGGTGCATCGATCAGAAATTCAGAATGCAAGATCGTTTCGATCAAACGGACTACATACTTTGCCTGTGGTAAATCTATGGCGTTATTCATTTTGCTTACTTCTGTCCAGAGACGTCATATGGTGTTTTGTTTTGGCAAAGATAAGCTTGTGAATTGGCGAGCTCTGTCCTCTAACTATTATCCTGATCGGCTGGGAGCGGCTGGCTGGGCTGACTGGCCAACCCTCTCACATAAACACTATTCACGCGAACAGCCTAGTAGTACTTCTCTCTCATATAAACGAATCCAGCAACGATACAAACCAGCCAACCAACAGCCGCTTATGTACTTTCATTTCAATGCGTCCTCGATGACGGGTCTAGCACCTCTAGGCTCTAGCTATGAATAAGTAAATACCTGGCCTAGGTGTATCTGCTAGTGCAGCTAAGCCGTACGTCTCAACTGCCACGAGGTATTTGCTTGTGTACTTTTCTTTTGCGAAATATATGTGTGCAAGGAGACACTATAATTCGTGCTGTAAGTGCAAGCGTATGTGAGCGTTTCCCTGCAGCCCTATACACAATATTATTATACATATATAGGCTGTTTGGTTTGGGGAGTGGCCCCATCCAACATCAGCACGTCCGGCACGGGTTCGACCGGTGATTTCTGGTGGAACGACTTGATGACCTGATTATACTCCGGACACTAGCATTCGATGACAGACGGTTTGGTTCCGTACGCCAATCCAAACGCTGCATTCAGCTTCGGATGGCTCCGCACGATGCCGTTCCGAGAACCAAACACGCTGATAGTCATGCACACAGGATAAAAAACACAGACTGCACGCAATGGCGCAAGGCACAATACGCCCACCAAGCAATTTCACTCGTCACGAATAAATAAGCGGGATAGCTGATCATATATAAACAAGGGGTTATACACGCATCAAATTTAAACAAGGTACTGCTACATTGGGCCAGCTGGCATTGCCCATTAATTATTCGATCACACTGGTCAAAGTCCGTCCATAGATACTACCACAGTCGACGAGGACTAGCTAGGTGATGCATGGGCACGCAGACTCGCAAAGCATGCGTGACATGACACGATTGTCGATCGCACTGTCAGACCGGACATTCGTGAGCGCACTTGCTCACTGATGAGTACTCCGTAGTAATTAATTAATTAATTAAGCGATCATCCCTGATAGATGATCCCAGTTCCCAGGATAAGCAAGAGGTTCTCTGCGGATGCTTACCCGGCCCGGGCCCGGGCCCGGCCGGCCTGCTCGTCTCCGCCCACGCCCAGGACGAACGCCATGAGCCCGAGCAGGTCGAGCGCCGCGGCGGCGACGATGAACGCGGTCTCGACGGCAAGGAAGAGGTCTCCCGGGCTGTCGATGCGGAACAGTCCGATCATCCTGAGGTACATCCAGTGGCTGGTGGCCGTGGCCGCCAGGGCGACGATGGCAGCGGCCCGGATGCCGATCGAGGCCGCGGCGGCTGCGGCCGCCCGCGGCGAGCAGCGCCAGCGCCAGCGCCGCGGCGGCCGCCTGCGGCGCGCTGCACCACAGGAGCCCGCGCAGGAGGGCGAGCGCCGCGTCCACGACGTCGGCGCCCGTCAGCACGTAGTGCCGGACGAGCCACGCTGCTGGCTCCGGCTCCGGCTCCGGCTCCTGCACTCCGCCACCGTACCGCCCGTACGTGGACATCCATCCATACGAATACGTGGTTAGCTAGTGTGCAACCGTGCGTGAATGAAGGCCGGCCGTGACTTCACGGACTTCACTTGAATGTGGATCAATGCAGTGAGATGCAGCGGACGGCTAACCTGGCATTGGCAAGGTGGGCCGTGCTGGAGGTCGCGGAGGTTTTAGGCAGCTGAGCCGGCGTAGATGCAGGCGAAGAGGAGCGCCGCCTTCAGGCTCAACACCTGAGCTTCAGACAGGAACGACGACGGAGGCTTCTTCTTCTTCATGGTGGACAGCAGCAGCGGTTTCTTGATGACCTTCTCCTCGTCCATGGATCCAAACTGGGGCATCTACAGGACAGTGCATGCGCAGAGCGTAAGTTTCTGCAGATTTGTGCCAAATTAAAACAACTGCATATATATTCATATTCATCAAGAAAAAAAAAGTAATGTCCGTTCTTTCTCTTCTGCCGTCGTCGTAGAAATTAATTAAGCCAAGAAATGAGGACGAACCATGCAAAGATGAACCAAAGGGCTGGGCCGGACAGGAGTAATGGAGAAGGGATCGAGATCGAGAAGAGAGGCTCACCGTCGGGTCGTCGGGGTTGGAGGCGTTGGCGGCGCTGGCTCTTCTCGTTTGCGCTCGGAGCTGGAGAGTGTAGCTGTGTGCAGCTAGCAGCGTGCCCGCGGCGGCCAGGAGGTGGATGAGCGAGAACAGAGATGGGTGGATGTGGATGGGGAATAAAAAGAGCTACCCTACCACCCACCAGCTAGCGCTTCTCCAAGGTGTAAATCAAGCATCACGCCTGGTCGACACGTGGCGAGTACAGTGCCGTCTGACTGAATCATACTGAAGTGTCGTCGCTCTCCCGACATCTCACGACCATGCCCGTGAATCGATCGGAACAGTAATTTGCGTTGGCTGGGAAATGACCACGCCGTACTACATACAGCTAGCAATAACGATCAATTCATCATACACCATATATGCAGTGCAATGCAGCTATGCAAGAAAGAAGAGGTAGGTAGCAGCGAGCAAATGGCCCTGTTCGCTTCACGGCACATGCATCGCTCCACCTCTCTCGGCTAAAAGCCTAAAACGCACTGCCGCGACCCGCGAGCTGTTGCCGCCGCAGGCTGAGGCTGGTAAGAAAGGAAACCGCGTGCCTTTAGTTTCCTGGCTAAAGTTCCTTTGCCGACCTCGAACCAGGACGTCGGAGGTGGTGGGGCTCGGGCGATGATGGCGTCTGCTCGACGTGCCTTTCCTAGCTATGGGCACTATAGGCTGGGCTCCCTGAAAGTGGAAGCAACGAGCCGAAGACCAACGCATCCATGTGATCCCATGCTTTGACGAGCAGTACTGGCTTTGACTGATGCTCTGAGACTGAGAGAGCAGTTTAATTAGTTCATGATGACAGTAGAGTAGTGATAGGGAATCCTAACTAGAGTACGTTACCAACTACTAAATCCGTTTCAAATTATAGTTAGTTTGATTTTTTTATCCCAAATTTGGCCACTTGTCTTATTCGAAAATTCGTGCTAAATAGCACTTCTTTTATTGTGGCTTGCTTTATTAACAAAAGTTCTTCAAGAATGATTTAAATTTGACTATGTTTGTATAAATTTTTTGAATAAGTCGAGCGGTCAAACTTGATGTCAAAAAAATCAAACGAAACCGAGCAAGGATTTGGGTTTGGGTTGGGAAAAGCAACATGTGGAGGAGGAGGAAGAAATCATCAGATGTACGTGTACTGTAGCTTACTCGTCGAGGGTGCTGCAACGACACGAACACGATAGTTCGCGGGTACGAGAGACTCTGCTCATGGTTGCACTACTGGAAACGCGTACTTTGCCGAGGGCCTGAGGCTTTACCGAGGGCCAAATATCGGGCACTCGGTAAAGAGACTCTTTGCCGAGGGCTGGAACTGGAGCCCCGGCAAATGGCGGCCCTCGGCAAAGAGGTCTTTGCCGAGTGAGCCTCGGCAAAGACAGGCCACGGCAAATCAAATCTTTGCCGAGGGCCTAGGCCCTCGACAAAGATGCCCTCGGCAAAAGTAGGCCCGTTTGGTCACGGCGGCCATTTTCGTCAAACTTTGCCGAGGGCCACCCGTGTTAGCCCTCGGCAAAGGTTGCAATTTTTTAGTCTTTGCCGAGGGCCCCACCTGATGCAAAGAAAGTTTTTTATTTTTATTTTAAAATTCTTTGCCGAGGGCCATGGGTCGAAACCCTCTCAAAAGAGCCATCGGCAATTTTTTTTGGTTTTTAGCCCAGTTTTTTGTGGTGCTACAATACGTTGTTTTGAACTCAATTTTAAAATTTAGGCCAATTTTGATTTTGTTTTGTATATTTCCTTAATTTATTTGATTCTTTGATTTTTTTTTGAATATAATCAAATTTGAGCTGCAGGTGCATGGAATATTTGCAATGTAATGTTTGAAAAATGACATTCATGTTAATTGGTGCATGTTGAGTCCCTATCCACGGCATCAAATTTGCATGCGCTCTCCATCACATGGCGACCGACTCATGGGGAAAGTGTTTTAAATTATATAAAATCCATCTGAAGTCGATGGGGTTATCACATGCGATAGGCTGTGGTAAACAATTGTGAGGACTCGGATGTATATATATCACATTTTGGAGATCTCAAGTTACTCGCATGTTACCTGAAGAAGATGTCAAATTTGATTGGAGTCGTTGGATAGGGACTCAACATACACCAAATACCATGAATAACATTTTTGAATCACTAAATTGCATTATTCCATCCACCTGATATTCAAATTTGAAATTAGATCAAAAACTAAAAGAAATAAATTAGGAAAATATAAAAAAAGTCAAAATTGACCCAAATTTTAAAATTGAGTTTTAAATAATGTATTATAGCACCACCAAAAAACTGAGTTCAAAATAAAAAAAAATTGCCGAGGGCTTAGCCCAGCCCTCGTAAAGGGATCTTTGCCGAGGGCATGGGGCCAATGGCCCTCGGCAAAGAAAATTAAAAAAACTCCAGCTTCGCTTTTCCTTCCCCCTCTCTCTGCTCCTTCCCGACGCTTGTCGTCCCCTCCGCACTGCGTGCCCACCCCCAAAGGCGCCATGCCCTTTCGCCCGGCGAATTTATCGCCGCCAAGCACCAAGGCCCGCTTTACCCACACGGCGGCACATCGCGTCCTAGGCGCTGAGCCTTGAACAAGTGCTTTCGGCGCTGACGGCGGCGGCCCGTAGCCCTCGCCGCCTCTCGCTCGCCCCCAGATATCTCGCCCTCCGCACCCTCTCCTCCCGGATCTTGCTCCTCGCAGTGCTCTCTGCGCCATGACGGTGCCGCCGTCTGCAAGGCGTCAAGCGGCGTCTCTCGCCTCCGCCATCTCCTTCATGGGCTCTAGGGTTTTCCATCTCGATCCGGCTCGATCTACCTTGGGAAGATATCTGAGTACTGACGAGGAGCCGCCCGACGGTGGTCGCAGCAGCTCTACCACAGGTACTGGGAGCCGTTCGTGGAGTACATCGACTCCACGGTGAGCCGCCTGTTCATAACGGGTCCAGTTTGCCTATTTACCCTTCAGCTACACACAAAGGTTCTTCTTAGTCTAACCATGCTCCTCACAAATAGATCAAGAATCTTCCATACCATCCAATCATTAATGGATCTAAGACCCCCGTCCCCTTTCGCCTTATTCGGGTAGTATAAGCTTCCTCATTGTGATTATTTGGTCCGAACTTACATTCACCTTCATTGTGTCTTCCATCTTTGCAAATTATGACTGCTAGCTTTCCCTTTCATGTATTGCTTGCACGACTCACCAATAGCTTGTGATTACATCACGGCGATGACATACTTATCAACTTAATTGTGCATCATCTACGGTTCTATGCTTGGCGGTGACCGTTCTCATTGTCGAGTATTTAACAAACTTTCACATATAATTACCTACCGCACATGCTTGTGATAGAAGTTGCATATTAGCACATGCTTGTGACAACGATACAGCTGCATTTTATTTGCCCTCCTCTTTGTTTTTGTTTTCTTAATTTTGTTATAGTGGCATAAATTAATTTGTTCTATCTTAAAAAGTAAGTCCGATGAAGGGCGGGCCCTTTTCAAAAAAAAAGTAAGTCGATATTTTTCATTTGGCTTTTTTTAAACCCTCAAGTAGGTAGAATCTGCAATTGTGAGCGTGTCAAAACTTCATTGTCATCTTCACCATCCTCCTGCCCTCAGATTTGGTCTGCTACTGTGCCTCTACAGATGGGGGCCAACAGTTCAGTTTCTCCCTTTTGTAGGTATATCTTGCTTTGCCTTTTGCGTCTCATTTGTGCATGCTTCTATTGTGCAGCAATAGCCTTTAGTTGCTCCTGTTTTTTTTGTGTTTCCTCACGTTATCGCTGCGGCCAGTCTAAGAGCTGATGTTATGTGTAGCTTTTCCCTTTTTTTTTTGCGAGTAACGGCACATTGTTAATTACAAAACTCCCTTTTTTGCTCCATACACTCCAATTTACAACAACGGTTCCTAATATGCTTGAGGGAAGTATCATAAGGGTAATTGTGTGCAAATATTTGCATCTATCATTTATGCAATATTATGGATATGCTTGTGCTCACTAAAGCAAGCAGCTATAGTAGTACTTGATATCTTACTCAGTTGGCTCTTGAACTACAAGAAACAAAAGTAGTTGCTCTTTTGTAGGATTTACAGATGCTGGTCACACTAACACTAGTGTTGTTAACAGATAATCAAATAGGATGAAAAAAGTCATTTGTGCAACTGTTTTTTTTTTTTCCTGTTACCAATCTTAAGATAGCAAAAGATCTTAACAAGTTAAGGTAGTATCTGATCAATTTAACAAGGAAAGAAAGGAATGAAAATGAATGACTTGCAAAAATATCTGTACCAACATATCTTTATCTAAGAAGTATCAGACTTGAAGTGAAATGAAAAGAGTTCAAGAAGTAAAATAATGGGCCAATGTCTGTTTTCCATAGTCCAGATTAAGCAGACCACATCGACAATGTCTCTTGGTGGATTTTACAAGTAGTTGTCTCTTGCTACATTCAATTCCTTTGAATTTCTTTCCATTTCCTTTATTCCAAATACATTCTGTAGTAGCTAACTGGGAACTGCAAGTACACATACCGTCCCTCATGTTGTTTGTTCCTATTTGTCTCTAATTTACATCAAAACGAGTGCAAGATCAGA